TCAGACATTAAATGAACAAGCATCGGATCGTTTGATTCGCTGACTGATCATTAATGGCAAAGGTCTGAAATTTTTTGATACGGTTTGATATTTATAATTTACGGTTGATCAGTGTGCAATGAAACTCGACTTAATTATAGCTGAGTTGTAGCGGTTTCTCTAGTACTTTGTCAACGATACCGATCGTTTTTTTAGCAATACCGATCCATATCTCGTGAATGCCGTATATCTGTACTTTCGTGAGCTTAGTTTTGTACTGTAGTAGAAACACTTCCGTTCGAATCTCGTTCGTTTGATTCGTCCTGTGGAAAATCGTGCAATACTTAGATAATACGTAGATCCTACATTCCTATGCATAATTGTATATATACGTGCAATATATACGTATTTAACTATTGTCATGTGCCAGCGACTCGCACGTAAAGCTTCACGAGTCCTTCGAAATTCATTTACCGACGTTAGTCGACTAAGTTCCCGTTTTGTCCGCGTCTGCCGAACGAAAATCATCTGGGCTGTTTGGAAAATTCGCAACGTTTTTATTGATTACAATTTACGAAGAAAGAAAAAAATATATATATGTGTGTGTGTGTGTGTGTTTTATTAACATTCTTTGATAACGAGAATATAATAAATTTCACGAACGAAAGACAGAACTATAATTTAATAACTTTAAAATACGAATGACTTATTTTCAATGAATTGAAATCAACGAAAACTCGTAATTTTCATTTTTCTTTGCATCGGAATTTCTTTAGTTAACGTGGCACTTCCGAGAGCAAGCAAAATTTCAATCTTGAACTGGAACGTTCATCACTCATTCATCGAGCTTAGCTTCGTTATTATAAAATTTATTTAAAAGACGTAGAGTTGAGAGTTTAAATACCTCGAGACGAAATCGGAAAAATTCTATCAATTGATTCTCCAGATTTTCTACGAATTTTCCAAACAGCCCGCTGACGTCTCCAGACATCTCTCAAGAGTCTCTCTCGCAAGTCGTTCGATATCTTAGACCACAGAAAATATCTCGCATATCTCATTCACTTATCGAAAAGAAAAAGGAGATAAAGAGAGAGAGAGAGAGAGAAAGGAAAAGAGAAGGAACGACCGCGGTTGTGCAATCTCGAGTCGAGCAGATCGGTATCCAAGGATGAAAACCATGGCGAGGAGGCGCGTGTTTCAGAGGCTCGTCAAATTTTACGCCCGTGTCCACCGCATGTTCGTACCTACTCGTCAATACTCAGAGACGTCGTCGCGAGACGAACGACGACGTGTCGCGCGTGAATCTCGACGATTTCGACGAGGCGAGGCGAAGGTCACCGACGATCGAGCAGCCCCCCCGAGGGGCTCGGCAACACGTCGCGGGCGTTCACCGCACGCGAGTAGTGCGCGATACCTCGCCCGTGTGCCATCGACTCGCTACCTGGCTACTCGTTCGTCGTCGATCCTTCCGATCGATCGCCGCTGTGAGTGCTTTGAGTTTACAGTGCCTGAACTTTCAAGTTTTTACCCCCCTTCTGACCCCCCTCCCCCACACACCTCCACCTTGTTGTCGTGACATTCGTAACGCGTAGAGAATATACCTAAAATATACCCTAATGCAACCCTCGACGATCGTGTATACTCGAGTCGAAGCAGCGTAGAAACCCTAGGTACGTACCATTTAAGCGTAAATATGTACTCGCTGCGTAGGCGATCGCAGTCCTTTCTTTCAGTCGTATCTTACGTTCCAGTAGTATACAGACGAAAATTCTATCTCGTGATAATAAGGTGATGATATATACACGTATATAAATATATAAATATATAAATATATTCAGGACAGACATTCTGGCGAAGCTGCGTTTTAGATTAGGCTCTAACGTGTTTTGTGTGTCGATCGATGCGCGAGGCAAGTAATGGTTGGGAATTATTTTTGCGAAAATAATTAGTCAAAGTCAAGAGAAGAATTTTAAGGTCAACGTGTGTTGTTGGATTTAATTGTAAATAACGGCATCGTCGTCAGGGAAAATGATTGTTTTCAATGATCTTTTTTCAAGTAAAATAAATATTTGTGTAATATAATATTCTTTTTAATTAACATTTTCTTTACAATACCGTTAATTACGAATGAAATTCATAATTAGAACGTCTTTGTTTCTTAGAGAAAGAAATTTATTTCGTCCGAAAAGTAAACGAATATTTTTATAGTACCAATATTAACCTTTCAGATGATTATTATATTTATAAGACGATGGAGTAAATTTTTGTGTTTGAAACAAAAGAGAAGCAAACGATTGAGGAAACAATGAAATCAATTTCGTTCGCGAAGATGTTAATACTCGTAACATGATTAATATTCGAAGTATTAATTATTCATAACTAGACAGCGGATTTTCGCATATATTTCTGCGAGCGCAATTAGAGAAGTTGTAATTAAATAAAGATTCGATTGTATACATGTTATAACGAGTAGCACGCTTTCGAATATTTTATATATCCAAAAATATTCTACGTATTGTTCGATTTCTAAATTTTGCAAACGTATAGAAATCCGCTGGAAGTCTGCTGCATATGGAATAAATTTAAAAATTTCCCCGATCTAAACGCAATCGATCGACGTACAACCTTGTCACGTTTTTCGTAAAAAAACGCCTAGCTCTGCCAGGAGATGTGTCTGTATTCGCATTGAGAATTTCGTTTCTATGAGCTGGCCTCTATTAATAACGATCTTAGCATAACGATGGATTGACAATGTGTCGCTTGCCGATGGTTATCGACTCTCGCGAGAGATCGTCGCATCGTGGGCAAAGTTTACGTTGAAGCACGCTCGAAGCCACGAAGCTTGATCCTTTTAGAATTGGTTGACTATTGTAGATTTTTCTACGGTGATGGTGTACATATGTTGCTGTTTGAACGTTGCAACGATAGAGCTTGCTGTAGCGAGGTATTGGAGGTATTTTGTTCCCTGATTTAGATAAATAAATGATAGCGGTTGGCGCTAGTGTGCTTGGTAACGAGAGTAATAAAAGGCAGGGTTAAAGTATTATTCTCTGTTACATATCGTAGAATAGTCGTCTGCGTTTGTCTTCTTTTACGAAAAAGTGAAGATCGTCTGCAATTTTGTGCTCGATATATATTCTTTCTTGAAGAAATTATTTCTTACGTCATGTAATCCTTACAAGCGTAATTGCATCCAGTGTCTCGTAAAGATTTTCATTCGCGTCGAGGTGAAATTGAGGTCGTGTCTAAGTATTTAAGAGAAAAGTCAGAGAACTTGACGAGCTCACATCCCAGAATATGATTGCTTTAGAAAGTTTAATTCACAATTTTGTTAAGTTTTTATACTGTAATATATAAAGTGCTTTATACTTGTACATTCTACGCTCGATAGTTAATATATCCTACTGTCGTTTACTGTCGTTTAC